TTCCAAAAAAAGCCACCCTTCCCAAAAATTAAATATTTGTCTGAAATTGACATTATTCATGGCTGAGGTCCAACATTTTCAAAATATAATAAAAACGTTTTAAAGACCTTCCTCAAAATTCTGCCTGGACAATCTCTTCTAAATGATCCCTAACACATATTTTGAAAGTTTCAGGGTGATTAATTAAAAAACAGTCGGAGAAAAAATATTTTTAGACTCGATTTTCACTACGCCAGATAAACTCGATTTTCACTACGCGTGATAGAAAATCGCTCGCACAATACAATTACTTATGAGCGCTGACCTTTGACCAGCGATAACTTCGGCTAGGAACAAAAATTTTGATAGGAACAAAAGCAAATGATAGATATTACTCTTAACTGTCAAAAATAGCTAAAATATTGATTTCGAAAATTTTTTTCTTGAGACCCCTAAATTACAGCAAGCTTAAGTTCCTAAATTAGCACCATAACAAAATAGCAATTTGTGAGAAATCAAAAATTGATGGGGACTTGAAATTTGGTATGCATAAAGAACGTGATATTTGGCCTTCGGATTCAAAGGAGAATGCGCAAATTTGGTCCTCAGATTTAAAGAAAAATGCACAATTAGATGTGGTAGGATGGAGGATCTTCATACTTCTAACGTCATTACCAATATTCGTACCAACTATTATCCTTCTGCACTTCTGTTTGGTAGGGACAGGAGGAACACAAAAACAAGACGTTAATGATGGAGATCTAATACGCACGGTGGAAGAAACGGTCCCAAACTTTGTAGCCAGAACCACTAAACTTGGACTGTTCGCTGCCGTTAGTATTTTCCAGGGCTGGCTTACAATCCTCCTTGTACCAGCCTTGATCCTCCTTGTACCAGCCTTAGTCTGAAATTGACATTATTCATGGCTGAGGTCCAACATTTTCAAAATATAATAAAAACGTTTTAAAGACCTTCCTCAAAATTCTGCCTGGACAATCTCTTCTAAATGATCCCTAACACATATTTTGAAAGTTTCAGGGTGATTAATTAAAAAACAGTCGGAGAAAAAATATTTTTAGACTCGATTTTCACTACGCCAGATAAACTCGATTTTCACTACGCGTGATAGAAAATCGCTCGCACAATACAATTACTTATGAGCGCTGACCTTTGACCAGCGATAACTTCGGCTAGGAACAAAAATTTTGATAGGAACAAAAGCAAATGATAGATATTACTCTTAACTGTCAAAAATAGCTAAAATATTGATTTCGAAAATTTTTTTCTTGAGACCCCTAAATTACAGCAAGCTTAAGTTCCTAAATTAGCACCATAACAAAATAGCAATTTGTGAGAAATCAAAAATTGATGGGGACTTGAAATTTGGTATGCATAAAGAACGTGATATTTGGCCTTCGGATTCAAAGGAGAATGCGCAAATTTGGTCCTCAGATTTAAAGAAAAATGCACAATTAGATGTGGTAGGATGGAGGATCTTCATACTTCTAACGTCATTACCAATATTCGTACCAACTATTATCCTTCTGCACTTCTGTTTGGTAGGGACAGGAGGAACACAAAAACAAGACGTTAATGATGGAGATCTAATACGCACGGTGGAAGAAACGGTCCCAAACTTTGTAGCCAGAACCACTAAACTTGGACTGTTCGCTGCCGTTAGTATTTTCCAGGGCTGGCTTACAATCCTCCTTGTACCAGCCTTGATGCAGACACTGAAACTTAAATATGCTGACCTGAACAGTGACTGCTTATTGACCGTGACCCGAGGGGAGGGACTTCTTCTAGTGGGCCTAGTCACATTCGCAGCTGTACCTGGCAAGTTATTCATGCACTTAATTAGGAAGAGGACCAGCTTCCGCACATCGCAGGCGGTACTCGCTGGCCTGACCGAGGGGGTTTTTGTATGGATGCTTTTAAAGGAGAGCCTTGCAGTAATCGTTACTACCAACTTCTTGATCAAGTTTTTGTTTGGGGTTAGAGACCAGGCTTACTGTTACGTTGTTGCTGACATGGGGTACTTTGGAACTAAGAGATTTGCTCTGGGCTCAAGTGTTTCAGTCGCTATGGGATTTTCCGGGGGAGTTGTTGGGATGGTCATGGCCTCTTTTGTACCTATATCTTATGTTTTAATCACCGCTATGGCACTTAGTGTCTTACAAATTCTGGTAGTACTCTTTATGACAGAAGTTCAGTTGTAGATATCGAAAAAAGGAAACCCAAGAAACCTATTAATCTGTTTAACAACGTCGATTTCTCGTGGAAAAATAGAATTTAAGGTTACTTTCAGGTTACTTTCGGGTTAATACCACGTTAATTCCGTTTGCAGAGTGCCTCATTTATCTTTATCCTAATCATAGTATGACCCCTGCGATAATCCACTATGTATCCGCCACCCACTAGAGACTGGTACCACGTACAATAAACTGGTGTCACGTAAAATAAAGCCAACTTAATTTGCTCCTTGTCCCTTCAATAACCCTTCCTGTCTAAGCTGTTTATATTATTAGTGGTTTCTCACTATTCGGTTCTTATAACACTGACCAAAAAGACATTTTCATTTTTCTTCTGCAGAATCATCCACACCATCTGACTTCTACTGATGTCTGGGACTTACGACCCCAGACGTAGCTTTAAACGACGTATAATTTAGTCTAAAAGTTGTATAGTATCGGAGTAAGAGACATTGTCGACTTAACGACCAATTTATTGTACACAACGGCAGAATACGAGTTAAAATTTAGAACATTTGGTCTGAGAGTGAAGACTGGGCCAGGATTATAATGATCAGTCGTATGCGACAATCGGTAAGACTGTAGACTATAGAGTTTATATCCAAGTCCAACAATCTTTCGGTTTGTTCCCGTATTACGAATTTCTGAAAACAATTCACTCTATGCGTCAATAATATCTCTCGAAAAGCGTCTATTAAATTTAAGTTGCTAATAATGTGATGAAGTCGTGTAGTGTTATTATGAGTCTCATTTGATTATTCTTTCAAGACAATTTCTGATGTTTTCTGCATAAACTTAGTGATGGAAATGTTCTAATGATAAATAAATAAACAATGAATAATTCGATTCCTTATTCACGACAAAGGTTATTTGGTACCTTGGTTTGTTCTTCCTGCATGATTTCAAATCACATTTTATTTGAATTTATAGGGTGAATGACTCAATGGAGACAAGTTCTTAAAACTATTGCGTACAGTAGATTACGGAAATCTACTATCTTACGAGACATATTTAAAAGGGACGAAAGTCGGTGGTTTTCCGAAAAAAAACCATATTTTCGGACTACTAAAATTTAGGTCCCCATAATTTTTCCCCAAAATTATTTTTCGCGTATTTTCTTTAATTATGACTTAGTCGATTTACTATCAATATAGTAAGTTATCAATATATATATATGATTCATCTAACAAATGAACACTAATATTACACTGGGGGAGAGAAACATCCCTGAACCAGAAGATCAAGAGGTTCAAGAAGAAATTGACTTGTAATTTTTCAAATTTCATATTTTATTTTATTGATTTTCTCAAATATTGGGTTTTATTTTTGTAAAATAAAGAAATGAAAAAAATCCGCAAATACCATGATTTAATTCGGGGTACGAAATGAGTTGGTTTTCGGCAAAAAATCCCATATTTTCGTTCCCAAATTATTTAGGTCACCAGAATTTCGTCGAGTATAAATATGTCTCGTAAGGTAACTAAAAGATATATTTTTTCGTATTGTATACACGAATAACAACGATCGTGTAGAGCTGATAATCTTTCTTTTGAGAATATACCTAGTGATTGAAAAGCAGCAGACATTATTTGTAAAATCCCACCGGCCACCACGATGTTAAGAATGCCATTAAATTAACGTAAGCGTAAAAATTTGTGGACTAATCTGACTACTCTGAATATTTACGGCGAAATCGTTGACAACTAAAATTAAATAAAGTATTAAGTAAGTGATTAGTAATGTACACCCAAATTTTCGCCAGAATTTAGAGTAAGTGTAACGTAAAAAAGTACATATAAAGGTAGGATTGTTCGCGACCATATTATCACGCATCGCTCCTCACCAGGTGATTATGTAGTATCTCATCGTCCGAAGTTGAGGCGGTAGGTAATATACGTGATGAATTTGAAATGAGTGATTGGCAGAAACATAATCGAATAATCTTGCACGAAGTGGATTACGGAAATCCACAAAAAAAAGATAGGTTATTTTTCGCATTGGATAAAGTAGCAGAGGGTTACAGCTGAACATATAATGTCCCTTCTAAAAATATACCTTGTGTTTGACAATCAGCAATAATTGTTTCTCATATCTTAATCGTGCCATTCAATTGACGCTAATGTAAAAAACGTTGGATTAATCTAATTTCATCGAATTGGCATATTATCAAGAAGGACAAGCGATTTATCATGATAATTTTAATCTGTGCAAAATCAATTTTTCTTTTTAAATCGCCATTTGTTTACTACTTAACAGTTAGCTGAAAAGTAAGCTAATATACACCATTTGGCCTACCTTACATACTACATTGCATAGGTAGGTAACAATTACATAAATCTGAAACATTCTAATTTTATTTCATGTTATACACTGTACACACCAACTTTCATCTTTAAAGTTCTCATTAAACCAGAATGGGAACTATTTTGATGATGAAATTATGGTAAACTGTTTTAGTTTTGGTTTTGGCTTTAGTGCGCACATTTTTATGAGAAAATTAGATTCGCTCGATACATAATACATTCATAGCACTTCAATATTTAAGCGAGGAATTAAGATAATCTCCGCGAATCATATTCCATGTTTTTACGATAGGGATCGTAATGATGGTCGTCACTTTGATTCACCAATTTGTAACTCAATAAACTAAGTAATAGTTTAATGTTTGATGAAGACTATTAGGCCCGAAATATCTATAATGTATTAAGTACTTAATTGAACTAAGAGCCAAGTAGTAGCCGAGTAGAATTGAAACACAGATTTCAAAATTTCGTAAAATTCTTGAACACAAACAAATATAACAGATTAATATTAACTTGTAACTGAATGAACTACATATTATGCATGCTCAACAAAAGAAAACTCGACCCAACACAATTATCACATAGTTTAACTGAAAATGATACCAAAGTCACTGCAATCTTATCTTGGGTGTCGGGATGATAAATACACATTCCGTAATTCAAATAGAATAGAATTCCAAAGACAATTTTATATTTTATCATAGATCATTCCAACAAAATAGTACGGTATATTATTTACAAGGTATTTTCTTAAATATTATTTTGAACGAAAACATTAAACTATCTCTCTGAAATTAATAAATACGTACATAATTTGTTAAAGTTGTCATGCATTCAAACAAGGAAACTCTCAAGAAAGACTTAAAATATTCATTAAACCGTTTCTGATAGGTGTACGGTCACAATTTATCGTTTAACTTGTAAGAAAGATATCATCATCTCATTCACAAGATCACAATATCTATGTCTACTCTGTACTACGCTTTTACAAATAAAGTTTGTGTTCACAAAAAAACCTCGTGAAGGTTACTGTTTGTAAACGTTGAACGTAATAACAAGGTAAAACTTTTCTCTTCTAAAGTTAGATGTAACAAATAACGCAACCATCTACTTAAAATGGCGTTGAGCGCAATTTTGATGTTTAAGCACATCCACTTTAAAATGAAGCTCATACTCCTTTTTATAAACTCATCTACTTTTATACTCAAAATAAACTATCAAGCTCTTCCCAACGTCTCTCGGACTGACAATTCTGTGCAATACGAAAACGTGGAAACGCTTAAAAACTTCTGTACATTTAAAAACTCAGTGTTTGTAAAGACTGTGATGGCGAGGGAACTGTTCACGTGACAGTCACATGTGTAGGGGGAGCAGGAGTGGAGACGACCGTGGTGTCCTTCATTACCTCGCTGTTGTAGGGAGACGAGGTGTAGGTAGTACCTCCGTTCGAGGAATCTTCTAGAACATCAACCTGCACAGAGTCTTCGTCCATCTCGATATCGACCTGTTGAACTCCTTCTGAATGCTGCATCGAATCCGAATGATGCATAACCTCCGAGTGTTGCATTCCTTCCGAATGCTGCATTCCTTCCGAATGCTGCATTCCCTCTGAGGTTTGCACTATCTGAATCTCTGTGCGCGGCACTCCGTTAGTCATCTGAGGGCTTGTAGCTGGTTCAGTATGGTTCCCATTTGCTGGAGCTGTATTGGGATCAGCAGACGTCTTCAGTATCTCCTGGTTAATACTGTTGATAACGTTCTGGATGTCGAAGGACTGCTGCTGTTGCTGGTGCTGGGCAAGAATGTGCTGCTGAAGCTGTTGCTGGTGTAGTTGCTGCTGTTGCAGCTGCTGTTGAAGGTTCAGTTCCCTAGCATGGTTCTCGCTCATGTCTCTGATTCGCTGTTTCAGCTCGTCGAGTGGATCGTCAGGTTTTCTTTGCTCAGTGCTGGTAGTCGCGTTGGTAATGGCCGCATCCAGAATACTCTGGTCAATAGGCGCTTCTTTTTTCTGGGTATGCACAGTGCTGATATGAAATTTCATGTGATCTTTCCTTCCGAACTTCTTACCACAATGCTCACACGTGAACCTCTTTATCTTCTGATGGATTGTCTCGTGATGACGTTTCAATGCACCGGGAGAACCGAAAGTTTTCTTGCAAATGTCACAGATAATCTTCTTGATGTAGCTGTGCCGTGTTGCTATGTGGCGCTCCATCTGGTAGGAGTACTGGAACATCTGGCCGCAATCCTTGCAGTTCAGCTTCTCTTTAGAGGAGCGACCCTTGGTGTGGGTGTGGGTATGGGTGGGTACAGCTGTTACAGCTACGTTCTGGGACACGTCAACTTCTTGGTGCTGCTTCATCAGCTGCTCGATGGGGAAGTAGTGGGACACTGGCAGAGGGTTAAACTGTTGCTGTTGGACTACTGGTGGCAGCTCTGTTTCTGGCTTGATGATGGTCTGCAGTTCCTGGGTCACAGCCGAGTTTACAGAAATAGCCTGAGATAAAGCGTTCACTGCCTCTTTGTTCTTAGGGGACGGATCGTTGAAAACATCAAACAGTGCTTTGACTTCATCCATGTAGTTTTTCAACTCGGACACTTGTTTCTCGAATTTCTGCACCTCACCTTGCTTTATCACACCGTTCTGTTGACCAGTCTCTCCCGGAGCCGGAGCAGCGGCAGGGCTGACTGTCATTCCTTCTTTCTGAGGAGTAGACTCAGGAGAAGTGGCGGGCTTCTCCTCTTGTCTGTTCAGATGAGCAGTAAGTTGAGCGGTTAGCGCTTGAGTAGCTTCAGGAGAGAGAGTACTGGTGCCAGGAGATTGTCTGTTAGTGACAGGAGTGGATACCAGGTTGGCAACAGGTGCAGAGGTGGGGGTGTAGAGGGGCAGTTGGGAGAGGGGTCCTTGAGTGATCTGAGAGAGGGGTCCTTGATTGATCTGAGAAAGGGGTCCTTGAGTGATCTGAGAGAGGTGTCCAGCAGAGCTGACAGGGAGCTGGGAGATGGGGCCGTTAGCTGCAGGGAGTTGAGACAAGGGACCGGGGGATAGAGAGGAGGGTGTTCCTACTCTGGAGGAGGAAGGGCTGCTCTGGTTCCCTTGACTGTTCATCTGTTTGAGCTGAAGTTGGATATTCTGGTTGATCTGGTTAACCCAGGCTGGGTTAGGTTGTTTGTCTCCGTTCTCTATAACCTGCTGTTTAGTTGGCGAACTCATCACCTCACTTTTAAACAACTGGTTAAGGGGCTTGGGTGCAAGTCTTCTCATCGGCTGCGTCTCCGCAACAGGGCGCGGTTTTAAAGAGTTGGCGCCCTGTTGTCCTGGAACAGCAGAGGATCCTTGTAACAACCTGTTGGCTTCTCCGATCAGGATGAAGTTCTTTACCACGTCCAAACAGGCTTGCTCGGTCTCGTGATAGAGTCTAGCCACTACCGGGGTGTCGGCGTTAAAGGAGGGACACACCTCGTACAGAGTCTTGAGAAGTCTCTCCAGTACGGAGGAGGACAGGAGCTGGCATAACACGTGCCATTTCAGCGTCTCTTCGTTTAAACGGAGTAACTGATCCATCCCTGGGACATGATGTGTTTAAGTTTTTAAATTTCATGTCGAAGTTATTATTAGATTATGTTTTAGAATAATTGTTGCAAAACATTGCATGTAAAAGATTATGTCGAATTTAATATTAAAGGAGTCTAGAAACAACCAAATTAAGTTTTAAAAAGCAAAGAAGGAGCTGATAGAATAAAACAGAATGTATATAAAGGAAAATAGCGTCTGATTAAATTTATTTGGGCTTAATCAATGTAAATCGGGGCCAAAGACCAACACAGTGTTCCAAACTAAAGAAAATAATCTGGATCAAATCAAAATGGCAGTAAAACGGGACGGGCACTGGATGGATATGTGACAATCAAGCTGACCTGCTGAGAACTGAAGGTAAGGATGACAGTGTTCGCTCTCCGACACTAAATCTGGAGCAACACTGTCAAATGTATCACCTGACCCAGTCCCAGCCAGGCTACGTTTGGTAAGCTGGAGATGTGTCATTGGTCACATGGAACACGTTACCGGGACTGTGTTATTAAAATGTATATTATATATATTACTTATGTTATACATGGGAGTATAATATAATTATAGGACGGTTAAAGTTTGAAACTAGGGAAAAGTCATCACCACATTTGGCGCACAGAGTATATGGTACCCTGAAAAGGTTCATTACAAACTCCCGTTTAAGCGGCATCTAATGCAGGGGAGGACCACCACCCCACTGTGGTACAGACGTGTAATTAGTGAGATATTATAACGTTTTGGTTAAGAGAGAGAGAGTGAGTTAGGAGGTGACCGATCTCTACTAAGGAGGATTATGACAGACAAACATTAAGACCGATCTGTATTATGCACGTGTACTACTACTACTACTATGTCGGAGCTAAGTCCGATCTACGCCAGAAAACCCCCTCCATATATCCCTGTCCCGCATCAGGGTTCGCAGTTCCTCTTTAGAGTTTGTCCCAACTTCCTTCAGTAACATAGACAAGTAGCTTTGTCTTGGTCGGCCTTGCTGTGCTCTACCGTGCGTAGGTTCCCATAAGACTAAATCACTGGCAAGTAGCTCAGGATGTCGGATGCAGTGTCCCGCCATTTTTAATCTCCTGCTTCGTAACTTGTTTGACAGCCTTGGGAGGCTACCATACAAAGTTATATTGCTGACCTTGTCCTTCCATGAGATACCCAGCACCATACGCAACATCTTTGTGTATGTCCCGTCCAAACTTTTCTCTTGAGCCTTTGTCAGTGTCCAGGTTTCTGATCCGTAGAGCAGTACTGATTCACAAGCCGCTATGAACAATCTAATCTTTAGGCTCTTTGAGAGTTTGGATTTCCAGATATCCTTCAGTCTATGTAGGGCACCCCACGCTTTTCCCTTTCTAACCCTTATCTCCCTATCTGTGCTCTCAATCCAGGAGCCTAAGTAGATGAAATCATCTACATTTTCTATGGCTTCCCCGGATCGACTTTGTAGGTCGCTAGATCGATCCTCCATATTCAGTGTCATGACCTTGGTCTTGCCTTCGTTTATGTGTAGTCCCACGCTTGCTGCCGCCGATTCTACTCTAAGCAGGAACTCGTTAGCCTTGTCCATGTCCTCAGATATAAGTGCTATATCATCTGCAAAGTCCACATCGGTGATGATCTTGGGCCCCACTCTTCTGCTTTTTCTACGTTCGAGGGTGAGTCCAAGTCGCTCCGCATCATCGCCTATGGCTTGCCTCATACAGTAGTCGATGACTATTGCAAAGAGGTAAGGTGCTAAGGTATCACCCTGTAACACACCTGCAAGTATCTCGAACAATTCAGTTTCTCCGTCTGGAGTTAGGACTTTGGCCATTGTCTTCTCGTACATGAGCCGTATAAGCTGCACGATTTTGACTGGAATGCCGTATGCACGTGTGTATGTTTAATCAGCAAATATTTAAATAACTCATATAATATAGGAAACATTAATGCATTAAATGAAACAAAATAAAATGTTATGTTGACCGTTGAGGAATATAACAAAGAGGAAAGTCTGGCCTGGTAAAGAAACAGAACGAAACATTAACCCATTATTGAGACATGCAGACAGTTGTTTCTGGTGGTGGGGAAGCAGCACACTGCCCTGCACTGGTTGTGTAATGTCCGAACCAGTGGAGCTGTACTACCAATGCTAGACACACATTAACCACAGACCGACAGATTAAATATAGCCTGGTTTTATTGAGGAGAACCAATGAATTACTGCGTACCGTCCGTTATTGGACTTATAATTAGTTGCATGATGGGTATAAATCTTGAGCGTTTCCTCCAACATTAGATCTCGGAGGTGGATGCAAATTAAGTTGGACCACACACACAAGGTGCTAGATGATAAACCTGACCAGTGCAGCACTACAGATATATAATCTAATGTGATGAGCCAGCGAGAGAGAGAGAGAGAGAGAGAGGTGTTGTGGCGGCCTCTCATAAAAGACCATTTCACCACAGCAATAATTACAGAGTATCGAGAATAGTACTGACAATTGATGCAGGGACAATGATGAACTGACGTGTGGCCTCTTAACTCCGGTCAAGCGGTGGAAGAAACTGTTTTCAGTTCTTCTCCTCGAACAAAGAGCAAAACTTTCCGTTACAATAGCTCATTAAATGAGAAAATCAACGCGCATTAAATTCCATCATGAACTTGGAGTTTGAGTAAGAGTTCAGTTGTTGTCGGTGAAGTAAGGATCGTTTCCTGGGTGTGGGATGGAACACTTGCTTGAGTAGCGACACGTATCACGTGACTAGTCAGTCACGTGATACACAACTTGAAGTGAATCATTGAGACGGGAAATGAGTAATTAATTAACTAATTTATTGGAATGGTGCTTTAAATAGTGGAAACTTGTCCCGCAACATGGAATAAGTGGCCAGGTACAGTAAGAAGGCGGAAGAAAGTACCTAGCGGGTGGCTGGCAAGTTTTCAGAGTTACCCTTTAAACTGGCTTACTGACTCACCTACCCCACTTGGCACACCAATTATAGCGGTGATAGTCGTGATGGTGTGCTACATAATCGCCTGTATTATATGCATGTAGCTCAAGGAATATTTGAAGCATGAAGTTTGCTATAAAAACATAAACATTTGATAAACATCAGGATAAACATTGCAAGTGCCACAAAAAACTGACTTTCAATAGTTCTCAGAGAAAGAGCAGTCAATCAGTCATAACGCACCCACTGCAACAGGCACGACATTTAATGAAAATATCCAAAAAAATCACCCGTTTTAGACAGCTCGGCAATTGGAACGTGTTCCGAGAATAATTGTAATGCAATTAAACCCTGATGGTCAGTTCCGGAGAGGTGGCTAAAATAAAACCTAGGCCTGATAACCATGATAATATTATAATGCTAACCTATATCGGGAAAATGGGGCCTGCTCCAGGGGCACAAATCGTAAATAGAACAGCAACTGATAATCAGATTTGTGGGACGGTTAAAAGAGGTGCTGACTGAGGCAGGAATACTAGGAATAGGGCGGCTGTACACCGTATACACGTTGGTACTTGACATGCTAGGCGTTACGTTAGCGTGCTCGACAACAAAGTAACGGATTCTAAGCTTGAGCGCATTCACTCAAGCTGGAGAATTAAGACTCTCTCTCTGCTCTCTCTCTCTCTCTGACTCGACTCGTTCCTTTTCTTAACACATCGGAAACTTTCTTAATTTCAAAAACTCCTTGTGACAACTCATAGTCTGTAACACCAAACACAAAGGCAGTAAACTTACAAAACAAAGAAAACCAGACCTCCACCCCGGTGAGCTGACTGTTGGTTCGGATTGAAAAGATGAAGTATATAATTAAGTATATAATATACGCCGTGTGTGTGCTCGTCTGACGGAGAGAAAAACACCACACTTTTCTAAAGGGGTGTGAATTAAGGACAGCATTTCAAAAAGGTAAGGCTTAAAGAAAGGAGGGTTAGTGATTGGAGCTTGCAGGTGTTCCATGAGGTTTAGTAATTTTGTAAAAGGAGCGAGTACTTCTCACTACACATTGTACCAAACACAATGTGTTAAACAATATTTATATATAGTATATTATATAATATATTTGAAAAGAGCAGGTCTCAGCTGATAATAATAAAGGGAAAATATAGCTCGTTCGATAGAACTATTTATCGTTAGGTATGGTCTCTGGGAGGAGGTAAATGGCTAAATTTCCTCTGCGGAACAGACAGAGAAGTTGGAAATGTGACCAAGCTCAGATAGGCCGCATCTAAATAATGCCGGTTTAGTGTAGGCTATACCAAACGGATTAATAGAACGACTAATTCCCGGCGCTAAAGTAAAGTACTTGCAAATTACTCGGGCTGCTCCGGAGAAATGAGAACTGTGTGAGAGGGATCATATCGAGAGATAGAGAAAAGACAAAACCAGCAGTGATGAGGGGAGACTGGGAAATGAACGCACTGTGGGAGAGATAGGATTATAGAACAGCATGGTAGTACAGGTGTAGTTACATGGTTGGGGAGGCCCAGGCCGCACGAGGGAAGGGTGCCAATCATTAACCATTTGGGTACAGGTATCGGGTAACAGGGGGTAGTAACCAGGCTCCCCACATGTATTTCACACCTTACCTTGCTCCCGTGTGTTTATATGCTTGGTAACGGGGCACTCAAATTGAAGAGGTTTTAAAACACACGTCTTACAGATCGGGGGGGGGGGGGGGTCTGGTTTTCTAACCCAGGATTGTGCGCTACAACCAGAAAACCTAGCTGATACACAAGGTGAAAGGTACAAATAGTTCCAGACTGGGGTATAGCATGATCAACACTACAATAGGAGCAAAAAGGGAGTACATGTCATATATAGAGCTGGCAGCAAGGGAAGAAGGCGAGGTGAGCGGCCAGTCTTATATATATGAGAGACATTAAATGGAATTAGGGTGGTATGGTTCATTGACACCTCTGTTGAATAGCCTCTGGTGGTACTACCGATCTGCTGGGCAGACACGTCGACACGACCCACAGAACCAGCCGAGC